AAACAAATCCAGAATTATAAATCTTTTTGAAAATTACCTTTGTTTTGGAGATGGAGTTTCGCTCTTGCTGCCCAGGTTGGAGTGCAATGGCATGGGAGACCACAACCTGCTCTTCCCAGATTCAAGGGATTCTCCTGCCTCAGCCTCCTAAGTAGCTGGATTACAGCCATATGTCACCACGCCCAGCTAATTTTTGTATTTTTAGTAGAAATGGGGTTTCTCCATGTTGGTCAGGCTGGTCTTGAACCCCCGAACTCAAGTGATTCACCTGCCTCGGCCTCCCAAAGTGCTGGGATTACAGGTGTGAGCCACCGCACTCAACCTGAAAATTACCCTCAAATCACACAAGCATTTCTCTCACTAAATTATATATATATATTCATAGTTACACACATGGTGAAAATCAGACTATCTCCATGACTACTCACTTAGACAAGATAAAACTACCATCCATCAAAAATCAGCTAAGAAAGAATGTAAGTTAAGCCATGTCCAAAATTGGGGTCATATTTATAAACCTTGATTATGATAGACATGCATAATTTATCTCTTAATTAAACCTCAAATTGACTTAAAGTGTACAAACAGAATTGCAAATTGTCTAAAAATAGAATTCTTAAGTAAAATCAACAGACACAATAAACTGAGGCTAGGAAACCGACACTCAGGCCAGGTGCGGTGGCTCACACCTGTAATCCCAACAGTTTGGAAGGGCAAATTACCTGAGGTCAGGAATTCAAGACAAACCTGGCCAATGTGGTAAAACACCGTCTCTACTAAAAATACAAAAGTTGGCCAGGCATGGTGGCTCATGCCTGTAATCCCAGCTACTTGGGAGGCTAAGGCATGAGAATTTCTTGAACCCAGGAGGTGGAGGTTGCAGTGAGCCAAGATTGCACCACTGTATTCCAGCCTAGGTGACAGAGGATAACTCCATCTCAGAAAAATTTTAAAAATTGTGTAGGTAACTGCAATATTTAACTGTTAATGTGTACTCACCAAATACAGGTATTTTGAATGATTGGCATGCACTGTGTGGCAGTAAACTTTTAGAGAATATGCAGTATAGGCCGGACACAGTGGCTCATGCTTGTAATCCCAGCACTTTGGGAGGCTTAGGCAGGCAGATCACCTGAGGTCAGCAGTTCGAGACCAACCTGGCCAACATGGTGAAACCCCGTCTCTAAAAAATAAATAAACAAACAAATAAAATACACAGTATAATGACAAATACCAGATTCTAATGAGAAACTTTTAATAAGTATGCATTTTTTAAAAAGTTACTTTTTATGTTTTACATATATGCTATTCTTACACAAAGTGAAACTGCTGTAATCCAACTTTAGAAGCAAAGAATAGCCTTACATTGTTAAATACAGAAAATATATAAAAATATTTTACAGAATAGAGTTATACCCTCTCTTATGTAAAAAAAATGCATTAAGAAATAAACTATGTTATTATTTAGATATAGGCTGAAGAAAGTAGATGAAACCCCTGTATTTCTTTTTGCCTGCAGCAAACTTAAAAATATAAGTAACTATTTTAGTAAATATGGAGAGCCTAATTATCTCATTTACTTCAGGCATACCATGCAAATTCTAGCATGTTGTCCTAAAAATCTGAATCTAAAATTACAGACATATATGAAATAGAAGGCTGGGTGAGGTGGCTCACGCCTGTAATTCCAACACTTTGAGAGGCTGAAGTGGGCAGATGAGGAGGTCAGGAGTTCAAGACCAGTCAGGCCAACATAGAGAAACCTCGCCTCTACCAAAAATACAAAACTTAACCAGGCATGGTGGCATGTGCCTGTATTGCTAGCTACTCGGGAGGCTGAGGCAGAAGAATCCCTTGAACCCAGGAGGCAAAGGTTGCAGTGAGCCGAGATCAAGCCGCTGCACTCCAGCTTGGGCTACAAGAGCGAAACTCCCTCTGGGGGGGAAAAAAATGAAAATGGAAACTACAAAGGAAAAATGTATCAGGAGAGTGACATCAGTAAGATAAAGACACTGAAAGTGCCCTATTTTCATATCCCATTATAGCAAAAACAAAATGTCAGCCATCCCTGAAAAAAAATCTTTATGCAGTAACAGACATTATGGCTCAAACCTGTAACAACAGCTACATGGCACATTAAGGTTGGAGACCTGCTTGGTGCCTGGATATCAGACCAGGCTGGTTTATGCAGCAAGACACCATCTCCAAAGTGCCTCCAAGAGAGATCTGAGATCCAGGGAGGGAATTGTGAAATGCTGTTATAGCTTAAGATTGAGAAGTGTTCTATTGAGAAGGCAGGCCCTCATTCAGGTGGGAAACTACAGCACCCCTGTTCTTGGCTACAGACCAGGATATGGTTCACCCAACTTGGTCCCAATGAGAATCTGAACTTACTCTGTAGCCATCCAAAACTCCTCCCAGCCACAGTCTGGGAGAGGTCCTGCCATTCCAGGGACCTAAAGGAAGACACCCATTTATAGCCATGAGGGCAGGCCTGCAGACCTTGGCCTCTACTGTAGTCTCTGAAGAGGTTCAATGACTCAGTTTCAGTTACCTGAGCCACAGTTTGCAGTCAGTTCTGCCTATATAGAAACCCAACTACCTGAGGAAATGCTTTCTGGTACTCAGTGAAAGCCATGCTCATCCACATCCTGATACAAGGCCCATCATATGCAAATCCAACTGTCAAAACATGCCCTAGTGTCTGCCCAACAGAGCCAAGTCCTGAAGGATATGCAGTCTGTCCAAAAACAAAATGGAAATTACAACAACGCAAGCTCCTGTAACAAGCCAACTAAAGGTGGACCCTAGTGCAGACCCAGCAGCCTTGTGACCAAGCTACAGCCCCTCTCCACTGCAAAGTCAGAGGGCATCTCAGCACCCTAAGGGCCCAACCAAAGAAGATCTTTACCTTCTAAAATCAGTTTATAAAAAATGGAAAAGGTGTTTTCTCCATCAAATTCAGACACCAATACAAACTATATTGTGCCCAAGGTCAATGCTTATATTTTAATGGACCACTGCAAGTATGTAGCAGAAGAATTAGTCAAAAAAATAAAAAGATCCATGGAAATTGAAGTAAATTAAAAGTTCCTGTGTGTAGATCATACAATCTTCTTTAAAAAAAGTATATTAAAACTGTTTAATACAATCAGTACATAAGCAATATATAAAATTAACATACAAGTATATATATGGTTTCATACACTTAAACTATCTGATAAAGAAAGAAAAAAATGGCAACAAAAAAGGATGAAAAAATCTTATTTACTATAGCAATAAATAATAAATTTCTGAGAAAAAAAATTAACCAAGGAGGTAAAAAACATTTACGATATAAATCAATGAAAAATTAGAGAAGAGGGCCAGGCGCTGTGGCTCACGCCTGTAATCCCAGCACTTTGTGAGGCCGAGGCAGGTGGATCACAAGGTCAAGAGATCGAGACCATCCTGGTCAACATGGTGAAATCCCGTCTCTACTAAAAATACAAAAAATTAGCCGGCCATGGTGGCACATGCCTGAAATGCCAGCTACTCAGGAGGCTGAGGGAGGAGAATTGCCTGAACCCAGGAGGCAGAGGTTGCGGCGAGCTGAGATCACACCATTGCACTCCAGCCTGGGTAACAAGAGCGAAACTCCGTCTCAAAAAAAGAAAAAATTAGGGAATGTCCAAATCAATTTTAAAATAGTTTGTGTGTATGGATAGAAAGAATACATATTATTAACTTGCTGTATTATTCAAAGTGATCTATATATTCAACAAACTTCCTATGAAAACTGCAGTGGTATTTTTTTCATAGAAATGAAAAATATAATTCTAAAATTTACATGAAACTAAAATAAACTTTAAATAGCCAAAGCAATCTTGAGTAAAAAGTACAAAGCAGGATACCATACATATAATTTCAAACCATGTTTCAAGACTATACAGTAATAACAACAGAATGGACTGCACAGAACAATGAACAAAAAATGCAACAGAAACTACTGCTCTCACCCATTCCAGACCTAATGCAAAACAAGAGCTTAAAAATAGTTTTAGTTTCGAAAAATCATGAAGGTATTTGTATGTCCCCAAAACAATAAAACAGCAGCCAGATTGTGCAGTCTCTTACACGCCATGAAGAGGACTCGTTCTCACTGTAACCTTGAAGGAAGCTCACCAAAAGAAAAGTAGAATCTTTATTTTATTTATTTATTTTTTTTTTGGAGACAGAGTTCCGCTCTTGTTACCCAGGCTGCAGTGCAATGGTGCGATCTCAGCTCACCGCAACCTCCGCCTTCTGGGTTCAGGCAATTGTCCTGCCTCAACCTCCTGAGTAGCTGGGATTACAGGCACGCGCCACCATGCCCGGCTAATTTTTGTATTTTTAGTAGAGATGGGGTTTCACCATGTTGACCACCATGATGGTCTCAATCTCTCGACCTCGTGATCCACCCGCCTCGGCCTCCCAAAGTGCTGGGATTACAGGCGTGAGCCACCGCGCCCAGCAGAAAAGTAGAATCTTTAGAGAATTTAAAAGCCTAGACAGAAAATGCCCCTTTGTGAGAGCAAAATTAAAAAAAAAAAATCAGGGCCAGGCACCGTGGCTCAAGCCTGTAATCCCAGCACTTTGGGAGGCCGAGACGCGTGGATCACGAGGTCAAAAGATTGAGACCATCTTGGTCAACCTGGTGAAACCCCGTCTCTACTAAAAATACAAAAAATTAGCTGGGCATGGTGGCGCGTGCCTGTAATCCCAGCTACTCAGGAGGCTGAGGCAGGAGAATTGCCTGAACCCAGGAGGCGGAGGTTGTGGTAAGCCGAGATCGTGCCATTGCACTCCAGCCTGGGTAACAAGAGCGAAACTCGATCTTAAAAAAAAAAAAAATCAGCTGCCCAGAAGTGTTTTCTTTGGCATACAGCTTCCCACTTCACATTTTAAGGGCTGGCTTTCTCTTTGACCTTGGGACCTCTTATTGGGTGTCCTGTGTTGTATTCATTTTCACTTGCACCTACCTAGGGGTGTGGCAATCATCTCATGTCTCTTCACAGTCAAAGGTTTTTTCCTTTCTCCAGACAGGTGATCAGGTCTGGCTCAGAGACAAGAATACCTGTTTTATTAAAAATAAATAACATTAATCTGGCTCATATTCTCCACTTACAAGCTAGTAATGTGCTCAGAGAGGATGTGATAAAATATTTTAGTAAATTAACACCAAAATACTAATTAATAACAGAAATTTCTAAATATTTAGAAAATACTTTCAACTTGTAGTTGTCTTTTTTTTTTTTTTTTTTTTTGAGACAAAGTTTCACTCTTGTTACCCAGGTTGGAGCACAACGGAACCATCTCGGCTCACCACAACCTCTGCCTCCCAGGTTCAAGAAATTCTACTGCCTCAGCTTACAGAGTACCTGGGATTACAGGCGTGCCCCACCACGTGTAACTAATTTTGTATTGTTGGTAAAGAGAAAATTTCAGCATGTTAGTCAGCCTGGTTACAAACTCCCGACCTCAAGTGATCCACCCGCCTCAGCCTCCCAAAGTGCTGGGATTACAGGCGTGAGCCACCGTGCCCAGCCCTGCTTGGGGGTTTTTCAGTTTTACTACCTGGTACTACTGCATCAAATATTGGTGGTGGCAATTAGATTTTCAGGTGGGGGCAACAATATTTTATGCCACCTAATTGCTGGAATTACCACTAATTTACAGTGAAGAATACAGCTCAACTCAAGAATTTGAAAAGTTTGGATTGAGATGAAAGGTTTTTTTTTTTTTTTTTTGATTAGCTGGGATTACAGGCACGTACCACCATGCCCAGCTAATTTTTTGTATTTTTAGTAGAGACGGGGGTTTCACCATGTTAACCAGGATGGTCTCGATCTTTTGACCTCATGATCCACCCGCCTGGCCTAAGATGAAACGTCTTAAAGAAATTCTTTTCTAAGTGAACAAATTCTGAGGAGTTTCTGGAAAAAGGGCTTCTGAAACTCTTATGCAAAGAATTAATTACTAAAAAACATTCTACAATAAAAGAAAGAAAACATTTAGGGTATATTATGAAGTAAGTATTCAAGTTATCCTCACCCAGGAAGACCAGGTTTCCGTAGTTCTCCAACATCACATCCCTATACAGATTCTGCTGTGCAGCGTCCAAGCAATGCCACTCCTCCAGGGAGAATTCTACGGCCACGTCTCTAAATTGCAACGGTCCCTGAAAAGCACACACACGCACAGACTTTTACCAAGTAGCAATAGGCGAAATTTTTAATTTGATGTAAGGCAAAAGTATATGAACAGATGCTTTTTCAACAGAAGACATAGATGTGGCTAAAAAGCATATAAAAATGGTCAATGCTTATCATTGGAGAAATAAAAAAAAAAACACACAATGAGATACCACCTGAAACTAGTCAGAATGACTATTTGTAAAAAGTCAAAAACAGGCCAGGTGCAGTGGCTCACACCTGTAATCCCAGCACTTTGGGAGGCCGAGGCGGGTGGATCAAAAGGTCAAGACATCGAGACCATCCTGGTCAACAAGGTGAAACCCCGTCTCTACTAAAAATACAAAAATTAGCTGGGCATGGTGGTGCGCACCTGTAGTCCCAGCTACTCGGGAGGCTGAGGCAGGAGAATTGCCTGAACCCAGGAGGCGGAGGTTGCGATGAGCCGAGATCGTGCCATTGCACTCCAGCCTGGTTAACAAGAGCGAAATTCCGTCTCAAAAAAAAAAAGTCAAAAACATGCTGGCAAGGTTGCAGAGAAAAAAGAATGCTTATAATCTACTGGTGTGAATTAAATTACTTCAAGAATTATAAAAAAGCAGTGTGGTATGCCGGGCACTGTGGCTCACACCTGTAATCCCAAAATTTAGGAAGTAGAGACGGGGACATCCCCAGAGGTCGGGAGTTTAAAACCAACCTGACCAATATAAAGAAACCCCATCTCTACTAAATTAGCTGGGCTTAGGGGCACATGACTCTCATTCCAGCTACTCAGGAGGTTGAGGCAGAAGAATAGCTTAATCCTGGGAGGTGGAGGTTGCAGTGAGCTGATATTGCACCACTGCACTCCAGCCTGGGCAGCAAGAGCAAAACTCCTGTCTCAAATAAATAAATAAATAAATAAAACAAAAGAAAAAAAACAAAAACAGTATAGCAATTCCTCACAGAACTAAAAAGAGGAGACAGGTTGCAGTAAGCCAAGATTGCACCACTGCACTCCAGCCTGGGCATAAAGCGCACAACTCCATCTCAAAACAAAACAAAACTAATGCAGAAACGGATAACTAAATGCACGTTATTAACAGCTAAATAATAAAAACACATGAACACGAAAAGGAGAGCAACAGACACTGAAGCCTAGTTGAGGGTGGAGGATGGGAGAAACAAGAGGATCAGAACACAGACCTGTTTGTGGCTATGCATAGAACCTCGGTGTCAAAAGAATTGGCACACAAAACACCCATGACATAAGTTTAGCTGTAAAACAAACCCACATGTGTACCCCAAACCAATAATAATAAAAGCTAATAGCAAAAAAAAAAAAAAAAAAAAAAAATTCCTGGGTGGGAGAGAGTGCAGTGCAGGTGAAAGGATTGATTTTTCCCACAGATAGTGGCCCAGGTGGGGCTGTAGTCTGATTTATTTCTGTGTGCACGCAGGCAGATGAGATTATAAACAGGATTAGGAGCAGGAGGTCCAGAACCCTAGCTTGGTGGACAACACAGGTTGCTGCTGCAGATTCAGTGCCTGGGGGAGGGGATATGCCAGGAGACTTGTAGACACTTCTGGGTTTTCAGCAAGAAACACTAGGATCAAAAATGCCGTGGTGAAGTTCCTGAGGGTGGTGCCTAGTCTTGGGAGGAGTGTGGACACGTCAATGTCTACTGTGTGTGTTTGTGAGTGGGTGGGAATCCTGTGGTGGCAGCTGCAAGAAAAGAGGGTCTGTCATCAGAGCTCCTTTCCTCTAAGTTTTCAGACCTCTGTCACCCTGAGAGAAGACCTGGAATCACAGGACAATGGGCAGTGTGACAGCCTGTGTACGAGAGAACAGAGCTTTCCATTTCCAGACAACCAGAGTTTTATTCCAGGCTAGGCCTTCGTGACATCTTTTTCCTGGTACCAAATCTGTATGGTTTGCTGAACATCAAACAATTCTCCAACATCAACTTATTGTCTAACATTTGAATTCTGACACCACCCAGAGTCAGCACAGACTCTGATTCAGGGCCTGAGGTCGGGAGTTCCAGATCAGCCTGACCAACATGGAGAAACTCATCTACTAATAACAAAATTAGCTGGGCGTGATGGCGCATGCCTGTAATTCCAGCTATTCCAGAGGTTGAGGTAGGAGAATGGCTTGAACCCGGAAGGCAGAGGTTGTATTTTTAGTAGAGACAGTGTTTCATCATGCTGGCCAGGCTGGCCTAGAACTCCTGACCTCATGATCTGCCCGCCTCGGCCTCCCAACGTGCTGGGATTACAGGTGTCAGCCACTGTGCCTGCCCAGGAAGGGTTTTGTTTTGTTTTGTTTTGTTTTCAGAGGGAGTCTCGCTCTTTTGCCAGGCTGGAATGCAGTGGCGAGATCTCCGCTCACTGGAACCTCCACCTCCTGGATTCATGCGGTTCTTGTGCCTCAACCTTCCAAGTAGCAGGGATTACAGGCACACGCACCACGCCCAACTAATCTTTTTTTTTTTTTTGGAGGGTTGGGGGTCTAACCGTGTTGGCCATGATGATCTCCATCTCCTGACCTGGCAATTCCCCCGCCTTGGCCTCCCAAAGTGCTGGGACTACAGGTTACAGCCATAGTGCCCAGCCCAGGAAGGGGTTTTTAACCCTAACTGATTTTCTGTTTTTGTGTCCTTCCTCTATTACCTGGCGTCAAACAGCACAATCCAAGCCGACCCAGGTTGGCTTCGACCGAAACTTTTTCCAAACAGGTAAATGCACGATTTTTTTAGAAAAGGAGAAGGGGGAAGGTGAAGCGGTAAGATTGATTTACAACTTTTACAATTGATGACCAGGAAGTTAAGTATTTGAAGAGAAACTTAGTTGAGCTAACAACTCCTGACCTCATGTAATCCGCCTCCCTCCGCCTCCCAACGTGTTGGGATTACAGGTGTGAGCCCCCGCTCCCAGTCGGATAAATTGTTAACAGAAGAACAGAGAAATTGTGAACCCCACAGACCAAAACTCTGCCCACTCATGAACCCACACCGAAGTCAGGATTCTCCACTGACGTCCCTCGCGTGATCCCTGCACTAACCGGGAGAGACGCCGCGCTGCCGATGCAGAGCTACCCAGAGAGGGCTCCAGGTCAGGGCAAGGTCAAGGCGCAGCAAAGTGACAGGACTCCGGGGCCCGGCTGTCCTGTCTCTGGTTGAAAGGGACTGAGGCCTAGTTGGGCAAGATCAACTCGGGGAGGAGACTGTGGAGCTGACTGCGGGGAGGCCTGAGTCCCGCCACAGACATTTCCCACTAGTTCCAAACAGTCCCTATTCTCTCTCGGAATGTCGGACCGGCACTCTCACCATTTCTAGGCTTCCAGGGGGTCCCGGCGTCCTAGCTGTGGCTCTCCCAATACCTAAACGTCACAGGCCGCGAGGCCGGGCCTCTAGGAGCAGAGGACACAGAGCAGAGAAGACATAACCTGAAGCTGCGGCTGCAGCAACAAACTAAGGCCGCGCCAAATCCGAAAGCCGTCCTCTTTGCTCCAGCTACGTTCCTGATTGGACGGTTCCCAGCCCAACGTCCCTGATTGGATAATGTTTAAGTCTCCGCCCCCTCAAGCCCTGAGTGACAGAAGATGTGATCAGACTCTGCACCCAGTGAAGAGTAACAGTTTAAGCTTCAGCCTTTTCAGGCGGGGTTTCCTCCCTGAGCTGAGCAAGGCGATCCCTAGGACATGGAAAAATTCTTCTTTACTCTCTCTCTTTTTGCATGTATTTAATAGGTTAACGGAAGTATTTTATTGTCAAGTCAATAAAATTTTTGTTCAAGAGAAAATCAACTTTTACTTTGTTAATAGTGTATTATCAATACTAAAGCTGATTTTAATAAAACCTTGTAAATAAATTTATTTTTCGCCTCTCAAGATTTACATATATATTTTATGTTTTATAACTTTTTAAACCTGTCTCTTTTTTTTTTTTTTTTTTTTGAGACGGAGTTTCGCTCTTGTTACCCAGACTGAAGTGCAATGGCGCGATCTCGGCTCACCACAACCTCCGCCTTCTGGGTTCAAGAAATTCTCCTGCCTCAACCTCCCAAGTAGCTACTCAGCCTCCTGAGTAGCTGGGATTGAAGGCGCCCGCCACCATGCCCGGCTAATTTTGTATTTTTAGTAGAGATGGGTTTTCGCCATGTTGTTCAGGCTGGTCTTGAACTTCTGACCTAAGGTGATCCACCCACCTCGGCCTCCCAAAGTGCTTGGATTACAGGCATGAGCCACTATGCCTGGCCCTAGTAGTAATTATTAGTAGGCTTCCTTTAGCACCTTAGAGAGGAGGGTATCTCCTAATTTTTTTTTAGAACTTTCTGGTACTAAATGCCATCCCATTTAAATAAGCAGTCTCTTATTCCTGTTCTGCATAGAGCTAATGGAACACACAGATGGAGCCTCAACGTTACATGTTCTCCATCTTTATTAAGAACCACACTTTTCCTGAACAGAAATCTTGAGTATCCACATGTTTTAATGTTCAACAGCCATCAAGGGAACATTTTTTTTCTTTTCTTTTTTTTTTTTTTGAGGCGGAGTCTCACTCTGTCGCCCAGGCTGGAGTGCAGTGGCGTGATCTCAGCTCACTGCAACCTCCACCTCCCGGGTTCAAGCAATTCTTCTGCCTCAGCCTCCTGAGTAGCTGGGACTACAGGCATGTGCCGCCACGCCCGGCTAATTTTTGTATTTTTAGTAGAGACGGGGTTTCACCATATTGGCCAGGCTGATCTTGAACTCCCGACCTTGTGATCCGCCCATCTGGGCCTCCCAAAGTGTTAGGATTACAGGCGTGAGCCACTGCGCCCAGCCTAAGGGAACATTTTTAATATTGTGAATCATAAATTCTTGCTGAGAATTCTGCATGGCATATAAGGAGCTATGATAGAGTGTAGAGAAGGCTCTGGAATATAGAAAATAAATATTTTTCAGAGACCCTTGATCATCATAAGAATTTTAGAAATTAGTTACACCAAACTCATTAGGGAGGAGAAACACAAGTAGAAAAGTAAAGGCTTTCGAATACTAAATGCTGGGCAGTCTGGGAGGCAGAGTGGATACGCTCTTCACCTGAAACATGTTTACCAGAAGAAAAGCCATTTTTTCCCTTTCTCCTCCTTCTCTGGGATTTTTTCTCAGGTGACGATCTCTGGACAAATTCCACCGGTATGTTGAGAATATGCCTTTCAAGGTGTAAGTACCACATGTTTACCTGCTAGCATGACATCAACTGGCAGAAAAACACAGAGTCCACCCGTTTCTGTCCTTAAAGACAGAAGAGATTCAGGAACTATGAGCTGCTCCATGAACATCAAAATACCAGTTTCTCCTTTTCTGCCCTCAGGTGCCCTCCCCTGCCACAGACACCAGCAATTTCTGCTACAGTAATGGAAATATGCTCCACACTGCCCCGTCCCTACCAAACACAAACACAGCAGGCCCTGTGTCCATTCTTTTTTTTTTTTTTTTTTTTTTTAGACAGGGTTTCGCTCGTTACCCAGGCTGGAACACAATGGCACAATCTCAGGTTACCACAACCTCCGCCTCCTGGGTTCAAGCAATTCTCCTGCCTCAGCCTCCTGAGTAGCTGGGATTACAGGTGCGCACCACCATGCCCAGCTAATTTTTTGTATTTTTAGTAGAGATGGGGTTTCACCTTGTTGACCAGGGTGGTCTCAATCTCTTCACCTCGTGATCCACCAGCCTCGGCCTCCCAAAGTGCTGGGATTATAGGCATGAGCCACCACACCTGGCGCCTGTGTCCATTCTTTAGTGCAAAGGTGGAACTTAACTCTCATGAATGTATTTTGAAGCCCTCATACCTGATTCCGGCCTCACCTTAGAGTGACATGAGGCACTTCATTAAAACAACATGGATGCTTCCACCCAGATCAATAAACAGAAGCTGTGGGGAGGGCACAAGAGATTTCTGCCAACTGGCCATGTGATCCTAATGAGAAGCCTGGGCAGATAACCACTAAGCTAAGCACTGCCTCTCAAGCTTCCACGAGCTTATAAACCACTTGGTAATGTTGGTCCCACTCTATGTAATGTGATTCTGCAGGTTTGGAAAGGGTCCATGGATGGGTGTTTCAAACTGGTCCCCTCTCAACACTGCTGTTGCTCCACCTGGGCTTATTATTAGCATTAGTTAGGGAAGGCAGGCACAGCACAGAGTCCCTTCCACTCAGCACTCCTGTCACAACCAAATATTTCTGGTGCAAATAAAAATAACCCATCTCCATCCTAAAGTTTTATATTATTTGCTGGCTCTTTAAAATATACAGAGGAAACGAAAGGCCACAATGTGTGAATACACCTGGATTTAAAATAACCACATGGACACATGTAGTAATGCAAGGTATATTAACCAGTACTATGCACTCAAAAGTATGATACAGAGCACTGTGGTGAGCCTAACACATTATTTGATTTAAGTTTTATAACACCCTAAAAGCTGGTACTAAGGGTTTAATGATTTCCAGGATTTAGATAAAGGGCCCAGCATTTTTATTTCTTGTTTCTCTGTCATCAATTTTTTTAAAAAAAATTGTCCTAGGCCGAGCGCAGTGGCTCACGCCTGTGATCCCAGCACTTTGGGAGGCTGAGGCGGGTGGATCATGAGGTCAAGAGATCGAGGCCATCCTGGTCAACATGGCAAAACCCCGTCTCTACTAAAAATACTAAAAATTAGCTGGGCATGGTGGCGCATGCCTGTGATCCCAGCTACTCAGGAGGCTGAGGCAGAAGAATTGCCTGAACCCAGGAGGCGGAGGTTGCGGTGAGCCGAGATCGCGCCATTTTACTCCAGCCTGGGTAACAAGAGCGAAACGTCTCAAAAAAAAAAACATTGACCTGATCCACCCACCTCGGCCTCTCAAAGGATCTGATCATACGCAGAAAGGTCCTTTTGTGAGCTCTCTATTCCGTTCTTCCATCTGTTTATCTTTGTGTCAGTATCACATTATTTATATTATTGTAGTTTTAACTCTAAGTTGTATTCACATCTTTGAAAAATTGAATTTCTTGACTCCTGACCAACAATATGTTGAAGTGTGTGTTTTATATTCACATTTTTTAATATGCCTGTTTGACTTGCTTTTAATTCCTTGTTTCATTCAGTTTTTGTTAGAAAACTGTATAATTTTAGTCTTTTTAAATTGATTTGTTTTGTCCAAACAGAATGCACCAGATGCAAATAAGAATACTGTGTATTATCTTGGTTTTGATTGGAGAGTGTTTTTGTGTCTATTAAGCTTAGTTGGTCTATAATATTGTTTGGATGTCCATGTGGTCCAAACCTCATGCTGCAATATAAATCCTCAGTGTTGGATGTGGGACCTGGTGGAACATGTTTGGGTCATGGGAAAATTCCTCATGAATTACTTGGTACTTTCTCTTGGTAACCAAAAAGTTTACACTCTTATTAATTCAAATCAGAGCTGGTTCATTAAAAGAACCTGACTTCTTCACCTCACACTTGCTCTGTGTCTTCCCATATAATATGTCTGGTTACTCTTTACCTTCCACCATGATTTTTAGCTTCCTGAAATCCTCACCAAAAGCAGATGCTGGCACACACTTCTTATACAGTCTGCCAAGCTGTGAGCCAAATAAGCTTTTTTTTTTCTTTTCTTATTTATTTATATATGTGTTTTTGAGATGGAGTTTCACTCTGTCACTCATGCTGGAGTGCAATGGCATGATCTCGGCTCTGGGCAATTTCCACCTCCTGAGAGCAGGTGATTCTCCTGCCTCAGACTCCTGAGTAGCTGAGATTACAGGTGCATGCCACTGTGCCTGGCTAATTTTTCTATTTTTCATACAGATGGAGTTTCACCATGTTGGTGAGGCTGGTCTTGAAATCCTGCATTCATGATGTGCCCACCTCGGGCTCCCAAAGTGCTGAGATTACAGGCATGAGCCACGGTGCTTGGCGTAACCTTTTTAAAAATAAATTATACACTTTCATGGTGGGCGGGATGGCTTACACCTGTAATCCAGCGGTTTGGAAGGCTGAGGTGGGTTGATCATGAGATCAGAAGTTTTAGACCAGCCTGACCAACATGGTGAAATCCTGCCTCTATTAAAAATACAAGCCGGGCGCGGTGGCTCAAGCCTGTAATCCCAGCACTTTGGGAGGCCAAGGCGGGTGGATCACAAGGTCAAGAGATCAAGACCATCCTGGTCAACATGGTGAAACCCCATCTCTACTAAAAATACAAAAAAATTTAGTTGGGCATGGTGGTGCGTGCCTGTAATCCCAGCTACTCAGGAGGCTGAGGCAGGAGAATTGCTTGAACCCAAGAGGCAGAGGTTGTAGTGAGCCGAGATCGCGCCATTGCACTCTGGCCTGGGTAACAAGAGCGAAACTCTGTCTCAAAAATAAAAATAAATAAATAAATAAATAAAAATACAAAAAAAAGGCTGGGCGTGGTGGCTCATGCCTATAATCCCAGCACTTTGGGAGGCCGAGGCAGGTGGATCACGAGGTCAAGAGATCGAGACCATCCTGGTCAACATGGTGAAACCCCGTCTCTACTAAAAATACAAAAATTAGCTGGGCATGGTAGCTGTAGTCCCAGCTACTCGGGAGGCTGAGGCAGGAGAATTGCTTGAACCCAAGAGGCAGAGGTTGTGGTCAGCCGAGATCACACCACTGCACTCCAGCATGGGTAACAAGAACAAAACTCTGTCTCAAAAAAAAAAAAAATAGCTGGGCATGGCGGCGGGCACCTGTAATCCTAGCTACTCAGGAGGCTGGGGCAGAAAAATTGCTTGAATCCAGGAGGCAGAGGTTGCAGTGAGCCGAGATTGTGCCAGTGTACTGCAGCCTGGGTAACAGAGCAAGACTCCATCTCAAAATAAATAAATAAAATAAAATAAAAATAAATTGTGTACTCTCAAGTATTCTTCTATATGAAAAATATTTAATATAATGTTGTCTAAGTTTTCTTTCTTTTTTTTATCTGAAGTTTCTATTACTGCAAATGGGGTCTTAACGTCTACAATTACTATGTTGCTGTGTATGTCTCGCTTCACTTTGCCAATATTTGCTTTATACATTTTGGAGCCCTGATATTATATACATATACATATAAATAGATCAATACTATAGTTATAGATTCCTGGTAAATCAACTCAATTTATCGTAATAGAACATCAATGTTTATCTCATAGTAGTACTTGACTTAAAGCATATAACCTCTAATATAATTATGACTACCTTACTCTATTGTGATTACTATTTTGAAGGAATATGTATTTTTTTCCTTCCATTACTTTCAGCCTATTTGCTCAATGCTAAAATGAGTCTTGTAGGCAGCGTACTGTATGCCTTTTTAAAAACCACTCAGACATTCTATATTTTTTAAGTAATAAGATTTATTTTCATATTTATTTATTTTGAGACAAAGATTTTCTCTTTTTGCCCAGGTTGGAGTGGAATGGCATGATCTCAACTCACTACAACCTCCACCTCCCATGACCAAGCGATTCTCCTGCCTCAGCCTCTTGAGTAGCTGGGATTACAAGCGTCCACCACCACACCTGGGTAATTTTTTGTATTTTTAGTTTCACCGTGATGGCCAGGCTGGTCTTAAACTTCTGACCTCAGGTGATCTGCTTGCCTCAGCCTCCCAAAGTTCTGGTATTACAGGTGTGAGCCAATGCACCCGGCCTCATTTGTTTTTGAGTCAGGGTTTCACTCTGTCAACCAGTCTGATTTGCGTGGTTCCCTGCTACCCGAACCTGCAACCCAGATGATCCTCTTATTTCAGCCTCTCAAGTAGCTGTGTTACAAGTATGTTGCATCACACCCAGCTACCTTTTTTGTATTTTTTGTAGAGACAGAGTTTTGCCATGTTTCCTACGCTGGTCTTCAACTTCTGAGATCAAGTGATCAGCCTACCTTGGCCTTCCAAAGTCCTAAGATTACATTTCATTTTATTAAGTTGTTTAGTTAATTTATATTTAAAATGACTGCTAAAAGAAATGAAGGTTGTCGGAAATGGATGCTTGGTGCCACAGAGGAAAAATTAGCACTGAGACAAAGAATCTCTCAGAAGCAAATTTTACTTCCTGGACTGCAGGAAGGGTACTCTCATGAGCCATTTTGCCATGAGAGTACAAGGAACACAGGAAAAGGAGACATACTTATTTCTTATGCATTTGGAGTTGTCCTTACTGCTGTGTCTGATTTCCATTGGCTGAGCCAGACTTCATAACCTAAACTAAAACCCAATTGGCTAACAACTCAAAACTTTTTTATTTTTATTTATTTATTTTCTTGAGACGGAGTTCCACTTTTGTTACCCAGGCTGGAGTGCAATGGCACGATCTCGGCTCACCACAACCTCCGCCTCCTGGGTTCAGACAATTCTGCCTCAGCCTCCCGAGTAGCTGGGATTACAGGCACGCGCCACCATGCCCAGCTAATTTTTTTGTATTTTTAGTAGAGACGGGTTTCACCATGTTGACCAGGATGGTCTGGATCTCTTGACCTCGTGATCCACCCGCCTCGGCCTCCCAAAGTGCTGGGATTACGGGCTTGAGCCACTGCGCCCGGCCTCAAAACTTTTTTAAACACATAAGGGAAATAGGCCATGAGCTGGTACATGCCTGTGAGCACATCCAGCACAGATATCTTGGTTAAGTACAAGGACATAGAATATACTACATGCCTATAAGCATATCTAATAGCTACATAGGTTAGGGCTCAACAGAAAGTTATTAGCAAATTTATTCTTTGACAAGAAGGGGAACTTTACTTGGTTAGTTCTTGTTTGAGACAGAATTTCACTCTTGTTGTCCAGGCTAGACTGCAATGGCAGGATCTTGGCTCACCACAACCTCTGCCTCCCGGGTTCAAGTGATTCTCCTGCTTTATCCTCCCGAGTAGCTGGGATTACAGCAAAGTACCACCACACCCAGCTAATTTTGTAGTTTTAGTAGATATGGGGTTTCTCCATGTTGGTCAGGATGGTCTCATACTCCTGACCTCAGTTGATCCACCGACCTCGGCCTCCCAAAGTGCTGGGGTTACAGGCGTTAGCCACTGTACCTGGCAAAGGACAGGAAACTCTAAAGAGGAACTTTTCTACTTTCAGAGTTGTATTACCTGTTATATTATTATTGGTTTCTGTGTTTCTAGTAGCAATTTTTCTTTTCTGTTTTACTTTCTTAATGTTTATTTAATTTTGTAGTGGCATGTTTTATTTTCTCTTGCATAGTTTTATAATTACTACCTTTGTAATCATTTTGAAAACTGGAGATTACACACATCTCAAAATTAAAACAATATATTTTAATCTTGTAACAACCTCAATTGAATACGAAAACTATGACTCTATATTTCCCAGTTTGTTATTGATGTTATATTTTATACGATGCACCCATTAACAGATTTATGCAAATTTACAGTTTTTTAATATTCTATAAAATAACTTTAAAGGTTGTATATATATTAAGACTGAGTTTCACTTTATTGCCAAGGATGAAGTGCAGTTGTGCGATCTTGGCTCACTGGCTTTTCATGTTCAAGCAATTCTCTTGCCTCAGTTTCCCAAGTAGCTGGGATTACACATGCCTGCCACCATGCATGGCAAATTTATTTACTTATTATTATTTGAGATTGAGTCTCACTCTGGCACCTAAGCTGGAGTGAATGGCATTGCCTCATCTCACTGCAACCTCTGCCTCCCAGGTTTAAGTCACTGTCCTCCCTCAGCCTCCCAAGTAGCTGTGATTCCAGGCATGCACCACCACACACAGTTAATTTTTATATTTTAGTAGAGATGGGGTTTTGCCATGTTGGCCAGTCTGGTCTCAAACTCCTGACATCACTATCTGCCCACCTCAACCTTCCACAGTGCTGGGACTACTGGCGTGAGCCACAGTGCTCAGTCAATATTTTGTATTTTTAGTAGAGATTGGTTTCACTTGTTTGGGGGCTACTCACATGTCAAACACTATTATTTGGCTGAAAGTGCTGATCTTGTATTTTTTTCTAAATTTACCAGTAATATAAAATTCTTGGCTAGGAAGATTTTGTCTTATTCAAATACGTTTTATGGGATTTCATTGACATTTAAGTGTCTGAGTAATCTGGAATATGGAAATTTTCCATGAACCCAAATTGAGCAGCTTTTCTGGGGCAGAGTGAGATTTATAACATTTCATTATCCTATGGAAGAAGCGTATTAACCATGTACTCAGTAATCACTCAACACAGCATTCTCAGTTCCCAGTATGCACCCTGAGTCACTCAGGGGAAATCTGCATCTCTGTAGAGGTGGAAGAAAATGCTGGGTGGAGGTGCAGCACTCTGCACAGGAATGCTCTCCACATGCACCTGTTAGGGTCCTAATTTAATTGATCTATTGTTTGCATGGCTGGATACTTACTGAATTTAGTCACACAACTTTTTTTTTTTTTTTTGAGACGGTGTTTCGCTCTTGTTACCCAGGCTGGAGTGTAATGGCGCGATCTCGGCTCACCGCAACCTTCGCCTCCTGGGTTCAGGCAATTCTCCTGCCTCAGCCTCCTGAGTAGCTGGGATGACAGGCATGTGCCACCATGCCCAGCTAATATTTTGTATTTATAGTAGAGACGGGGTTTCACCATGTTGAACAGGATGGTCTCGATCTCTTGACCTTGGGATCCACCTGCCTCGTCCACCCAAAGTGCTGGGATTACAGGCGTGAGTGACAATTTTTAGCAGCTAATGGTATCTGTTACCCATTACTTTTATACATTGCCTTTTATTGAAAAGCAATTCTTTTGATTATTCTAAATTGAGACTACATTTAAAATCTTCAATTTTTCAGCATTAAGGCAAATCAGAGAGGAGCAATGTGTGTATATAATATGCATTTTTCTGCCTATCAAAATTCTTCCTTTATTGCCTTGGAAACCCTGGGAAGCCACCTGTAAAATGCTCCCTTTGAATTCTTTGGCCAGGATTTTAGACTTCAAAAGGTCAAAAAACAGGCTGGGCATGGTGGTTCATGCCTGTAATCCCAGCACTTTGGGAAGCCAAGGCAGGTGGATCACAAGGTCAGGAGTTCAAGGCAAACCTGGCCAAGATGGTGAACTGCAGTCTCTACTTAAAATACAAAACTTAGTTGGGCATGGTGGTGGGTCCCTCTGTAATCCCAGCTACTCTGGAGGGTGAGGCAGATACTTAATCCTGGGAGGTGGAGGTTGCAGTGAGCCAAGATTGTGACACTACACTCCAGCCTGGGCAACAGAATGAGACTCTGTCTCAAAAAAAGGAAACAAAAATAAATAAATAAAAGTTCAAAAGCAATAATTGGGGAAACCCAAAATCTTGTCTTTGGTTCTTATTAGTCATCTAGCCATTCCCAAAGCCATGGCAATCATGCCAAGGCTTTCAAAAGATGTGGATTTGATTCGTTTTATCCCATTTCAAATGTTTTCTCTAATTGTTATTTCATCATGTTAATCTAAAAGAAATCATCTACCTAACTAATCATGCATTCAAAAAATATCCTTATTAAAGTATTTACATTCTTAGCTTGTATTACAGTTTAGAACTCTGTCATTAGAAATTAATTACGTATAAATTCATTGTTTTTAAAGTTTTTTAAATGTGAAAACTAACAATTTGGTATGCTTTGTGAAGCAAGTTCAATTCGGCTGGGCACAGTGGCTCACACCTATAATCCCAGCATTTTGGGAGGCCAAATTGGGCAGATCATGAGGTCAGGAGATCGAGACCATCCTGGCTCACATGGTGAAACCTTGCCTCTACTAAGAATCCAAAAAAAAAAATTACCCACACAGTGGAACGTGGCTGTAATTTAACCTACTCAGGAGGCTGAAGTAGGAGAATCACTTCAACCCAGGAGATAAAGGTTGCAGTGAGCTGAGATTGCACTACTGCACTCCTGCTAGGTGACAAAACAAGACTGCATCTCAAACAAAACAAAACAAAACAGTTTAATTCTAGAACATTATCCACTGGTCTTTATGGTATTTCCTTAACGAATAGGGTAAAACTGAGTTACCTAAATGGTACAGACATGCTGGTTGATTGAGTTCAGTCCTCTTTGTAGAGTATCAGTATCCAAGAGGCTGATCATTCACTACAGGTTACTAAATGTTCCAAAATGCCAGTGAGCACTTTTACCCAGGTTACCCTTTTCCTCCCATTAATGTGGTTCCGTTGCTATTCAGCTGTCCCAGATGAGAGGTGATTGTTTCTCCCATGAATGAGATTCCCTTTTTTCCTGTTTGCCATAGGATTCTCTTATTCTCCCGACTGGAAGTGACATGCAGAAGGCAGGAATGACATACAAACAAGTTTCCTGCCATGTGGCCACCATAAGCAGCTTACAACATGGCCCACGTTTACACTTACTTTTGGGCCAGCAGGGGTGTTTTTCTATGTGCCTCTTTCTCTTAAAATCACCTCTTACTAAGTTTAGCACAATTAGAATAATCTCCATTTTGAGAAACACAAAGTGAACACATGAGTAATATAATTTCGTGAGTGATTCCCAGCACAGTCACACATCTTCTTACACTCGAGAGGAAAGGATTACACAGCAGGTGTGCAACAGACTGGGAATCCAGGGTATTACGTTAGAATGTTGCTTATGCACCAGAATAAACTTTTAAAATACTTTCTGCTACTGTTGTTATCTACGTAAACAAAGATATCTGCACATAACAACTTTACAGTTTAATTCATTACAAATATTAACATTTTTTTCTGGCTTATTTTTTCCTTCTGTACCATTTTATACATTCACACACACAGGTGGATAAAAATGTATCCAATTATTCAATGTTGAATAAAATTTTATTAAAATAAATGTTAAAATAATGTATTTTTTTGTTTGTTTGAAGAGGGCTTTTATTGTTGTACTCAAGAGTGTTATTTCTGTAGATAAAGTTGCCTGGGCTTTAACAGGCAGGTTCTGGGGAGCATCCAAAGCCTAGGCTGGAGTGCAGTGCCATGATCTTGGGTCTCTGCAACCTCTACCTCTGTTTCAACGGATTCTGCTGACTCAGCCTCCAGACGTGAGCCACCATGCCTGGCTACTTTTTATATTTACTAGAGTCAGGTTCCATCATGTTACCCAGGTTGGTCTTGAACTCCTGACCTCAGGCAATCCAGCTGCCTTGCCTCCCAAAGTGCTGGAATTATAGGTGTGAGCCACCTGTATCCCAGCCATCTGTGCCCAGCCATAGATTAGTTTTTATAGTCAACACTCCGATTTAGTGTAATCTCTGAAATTTAGTGCCTTATCTACTGTAAATTCTGATATTTATATACAATTAATTTTGAATTAAATTTTTTTTAATATTTACTGCATCTGTAAAACTACATTTTAGTATAGACTCTCTGGTGTTTTCTAAGCTATAGTTTTTGAAAAAAAAAAAAAAACTGTTTCCCAATTCATTACATTTGCAGGAGTCTTCTGTAAAATAAACTCCCTGAATTTGAACAAAGCTTCAGCAACTTCTGTAGGCGATCCTCTGGTACAAAATGTGTGCAGTAAGATCTGTAACACAAGTAAAGGTACCACAACACCCTTTATATTTATAATTGTTTTTGAGAATACTTTTCTTAACTTTGAAGGCTTATATTTTCTGAAAGATTTTTTGACAGTAATTGCACTTTTATGCTTTTATTAAATATGATCCTTTTTATGTTGTGTAATGTATGAGTAGGCATTAAGGGGTTTCCATATTCTTTATATTTATAACATTTTTCTCAAGCATAATAGCTTTCCTGTGAAATAAGCTGCAAGCACTGATTAAAAGTTTCTCCACATTCCTCACACTTGTAGTTTTGCCAGTATGAATTATCTTACCTACAATCAAGTGTGGCAACCCTATAAAGACTTTGTCATATTTTATACGTTTCTAGGGTTTCACACTAGTATATATATTTTTATGTACAGAAAAGTTAGAGGTGCTGGTAAAAGCACTATCCCATAATTCAGTTTTGTAGAGTCCCTCTTCAGCATGAATAATCACCATTGTAACGTTGGTCACATCGAGGTCACCAATGGGCTGGGGTCTGTACTGAAGATCCTACTCAGTGGCAAATCAATAATTACACTCAAGAGAATAGAGTGTTAAGAGCCAGGATAGGGGATTGTGAGCTGCTGACAAAGAGAGAGAGTGATCGCAGCTACGTGACAACTACTTCTTGTTCCTCCTCAGATTTATTCGGTACAGATCTAATAACAGAGGTTTCAAGTGAATGTGCTTGTGGATTATTAACATGGTTAAAATAGTGGTTTTACAAATGCTGAAAGCTCAGATTCCAGTACCCAGAGTAAAAACTATTAATGGGTACTCTCTCTGGCTGACCTCACCTCAAGATGGCCATTTGCAGTGATCAAAAAATGCTGAGTAAAAAATAAGAACTCAGCTAACAAAAGAACTCAGATGACTGGATGTAGTGGCTCATGCCTGTAATCCCAGCACTTTAGGAGGCAGAGTTGGGTGAATCACCTGAGGTCAGAAGTTCAAGACCAGCCTGACAAATATGGCAAAAGACTGTCTTTACTAAATATACACAAGTTAATAGGGTGTAGTTGTGGACACCTGTAATCCCAGGTACTCGAGAAGCTGAGGCAAGGGAATTGCTTGAATTCAGAAGGCAGAGTTTGCAGTGAGCTAAAATTTTGCAATTGCACTTCAGCCTGGGTGATGAGAGTAAAACTTTTGAACTTCTTTTTTTTTTTTGAGACAGAGTTTCACTCTTGTTACCCAGGCTAAAGTGCAACGGCATGATCCTGGCTCACCACAACCTCCGCCTCCTGGGCTCAGGCAATTCTCCTGCCTCAGCTTCCTGAGTAGCTGGGATTACATGCACGTGCCACCATGCCCAGCTAATTTTTTGTATTTTTAGTAGAGACGGGGTTTCACTATGTTGACCAGGATGGTCTGGATCTCTTGACCTCGTGATCCACCCGCGTCAGCCTCCCAAAGTGCTGGGATTATAGGCGTGAGCCACCATGCCCGGTAAACTTTTGAACTTCTTATAGAATTTGCCAAATTCTTCACACTTGTGGGGTTTCTGTCCATGATAAATTATTATTATTATTATTATTTTAGAGACGAAGTTTTGCTGTTGTTAAAGTTTCTGTCCAGTATATTGTTACTATTATTTTTGAGATGGAGTTTTGCTGTTGTTACCCAGATTGGAGTGCAATGGCACGATCTTGGCTCACTGCAACCTCCACCTCCTGGGTTCAGGCACTTCTCCTGTCTAGGCCTCCCGAGTAGCTGGGACTACAGGTGCGCACCACCATACCCAGCTAATTTTTCTTTTTTTAGTAGAGACGGGGTTTCACCTTGTTGACCAGGATGGTCTCAATCTCTTGACCTTGTGATCCACTCGCCTCGGCCTCCCAACGTGCTGGGATTATAGGCATGAGCCACTGCGCCTGGCCTATCCAGTATAAATTATAAGGGTTGAGATCTTCCTTGAAAACTCTGTCACATTCTTTATATTTGTAGGGCTTATGTTTCACATAAATTCTCATATTTAGTAAAAGTTGAGGGCTGGTTAAAGGCTTTCCTACATTCATTACATTCATAGGGTTTCTCTCTGGTATGAATTATCTTATGTCCACTGAGGCATGAGAATGAGGGAAAGTTTTTTCCACATTCTTTACATCTTTAGGGTTTCACTCTAGTATGAATTTTCCTATATCTAGTAGGAAAAGAGGACTTTTTAAAGATTTTGCCACATTCTCCACATTTGTAGGGTTTTTTTAGAGACGGAGTTTCGCTATTGTTACCCAGACTGGAGTGCAATGGCACAATCTCGGCTCACTGCCTTCTGGGTTCAAGCAATTCTCCTGCCTCAGCCTCTCGAGTAGCTGGGACTACAGGCGCGCACCACCATGCCCAGCTAATTTTTGTATTTTTAGTAGAGACGAGGTTTCACCTTGTTTACCTGGATGGTCTCGATCTCTTGTCCTCGTGATCCACCCGCCTCAGCCTCCCAAACTGCTGGGATTATAGGCGTGAGCCACTGCGCCCGGCCCTCATTTGTAGGTTTTATCTCCAGTATGAATTATCTTATTTGTAGTAAGGGTTGTAGATTAGGGAAAAGCGTTGCCACATTCTTAACATCTGTAGGGTTTCCCTTGAGTATGAGTTTTTTTATGTGTAGTGAGGTGTGAGGCCTGCTGGAAATCTCTTCCACATTCTTCACATCTGTAGGGTTTCTCTCCACTATGAATTTTCTTATGTGTAGTAAGGTGAGAGGATCTCTTAAAGGCTTTGCCACATTCCTCACATTTGTAGGGTTTCTCTTCAATATGAATTCTCTTATGTGCAGCAAGGTTTGAGGAGTATGTAAAGTCTTTGCCACATTCTTTGCATTGGTAGGGTTTCTCTCCAGTATGAGTTCTCTTATGTTGAGTTAGAGTTGAGGATGCAGTAAAGGCTTTGCCACATTCTTCACATTTGTAGGGTTTCTCTCCAGTATGAATTATCTTATGAGTAGAAAGGGGTGAGGAATATGTAAAGGGTTTGCCAAATTCTTCACATCTGTAGGGGTTCTCTCCAGTATTAATTTTCTTATGTTTAGTAAGGTGAGAGGACTTCTCAAAGGCTTTTCCACATTCTTCACATTTGTCGCATTTCTCTCTAATATGTATTTTCTTATGTCTAGTAAGGTGTGAGGCCTGCTTGAAAGCTTTTCCACATTCTTCACATCTGTAGGGGTTCTCTCCAGTATGAATTTTCTTATGTTTAGTAAGATAAGAGGACTTCTCAAAGGCTTTTCCACATTCTTCACATTTGTAGGGTTTCTCTCCGGTATGAATTCTCTTATGTGTAAAAAGGGTTGAGTAGTGTGTAAAGTTTTTGCCACATTCTTCACATTTGAAGGGTTTTTCCCCAGTATGAATTCTCCTATGTGCAAAAATGTTTGAGGAGTGTAGAAAGTCTTTGCCACATTCTTCACATTTATAGGGTTTCTCTCCAGTATGAATTTTCTTATGTTTAGTAAGGTAAAATGACTTTATAAAGCCTTTTCCACATTCTTCACATTTGTATGGTTTCTCTCCAGCATGAATTCTCTTATGTATACTTAGGATTTCAGACCACTTAAAAGCTTTGCCACATTCCTCACATCTATAGGGTTTCTCTCCAGTATGAATTCTTTTATGTGTAGTAAGGTTAAATGACTTCTTAAAGGCTTTGCCACATTCTTCACATTTGTAGGGTTTCTCTCCAGTATGAATTCTCTTATGTGTAGTAAGGTAAGAGGAGTGCTTAAAGCTTTTCCCACAGTCTTCACATTTGTAGGGTTTCTCTCCAGTATGAAGTATCTTATGTATGGTAAGGTGTGAGGAGCAGCTTAAGGTTTTGCCACATTCTTTACATTTGTAGGGTATATCTCTGGTATAAATTTTCTTACGTTTAGTAATGGTAAAAGACTGGTTAATAGCTTTGCCACATTCTATATGTTTGAAAATTTTTCTTCCAATATGTTTTATCTTATGTCTGTTGGAATTTGAAAACTTATAAAAGACTTTCACATATTTATCACATTGAAATATTTTTCTCTGGGTACTTGTCAAATTTGGTTAAGTTCATTATAACCTGCTTTGTCCACATGACACTCATCCACACATTCACAGCTGTTATTTAACTGTAAATTGTGATGTCCACATTTTTCATATCTTTTCAGTACCTTTTTTTGGTAAGAATCTTTTATGCTCTGCTCTGGCCAAAGGTCTTGGGCAAAATGAGAATATCTAACTGAAACAAACAATAAAAACACATTACTTCAATTGCTAGACTCAGATAAGTACACTTTTAAAATCTAACATTTTTAGTTAGTATTTATAAAATTATACAAACTACGGAAGCGAGATGATATAGCAAATACCATTAAGTGTAATTTCTTCTTGGACATATAAATGTAACAAAAAGATACCAACCCCAAAATCCATTTATAAAAAATGTGTAAGTGTGTTAAGTGTGTTAAGGGCCCCAGATGAGCACAATACAAAGAGCCACATAGAAGAAAAATAAAAGTCTGTTTCTTATAACGGACACAGGTCCTTGTCCTCTTCAGAATAACATTTTGCCTTTAAAAGTAAATTCCCAGGCCAGGAGCTGTGGCTCATGCCTATAATCCCAGCACTTTGGGAGGCCGAGGCGGGTGGATCATGAGGTCAAGAGATCAAGACCATCCTGGTCAACATGGTGAAACCCCGTCTCTACTAAAAATACAACAATTAGCCGGGCATGGTGGTGCGTACCTGTAGTCCCAGCTACTCGGGAGGCTGAGGCAGGAGAATTGCTTGAACCCAGAAGGTGGAGGTTGTGGTGAGCCGAGATCGTGCCATTGCACTCCAGTCTGGGTAACAACAGTGAAATTCCGTCTCAAAAAAAAAAAAAGTAAATTCCCAGCCAGGCCCGGTGGCTCATGCCTGTAATCCCAGCACTTTGGGAGGGTGACAGGAATGAATCATAAGGTCAGAAGTTGAAGACCAACATGACCAAGATGATGAAAAACCCGTCTCTACTAACAATACAAAAAATTTACTAGGTGTGGTTGCAGATACCTGTAATCCCAGCTACTTAGAAGCCTGAGGCAGAGAATTGCTTGACACCGGGAGGCAGAGATTACAGTGAGCTGAGATGGTGCTACTGCACTCCACCATGTGTGACAAAGTGAAACTGCCTTAAAAAAAAAAAGTAAACTGCCAGACAGGCATGATGTGTCATGCCTGTAATCTTAACACATCGGATGAACAAGGCAGGAGGATTACCTTAGGTCAGGAATTTGAGACGAGCCTGACCAACCAGGTGAAATCCCAGCTCTACTAAAAATACAAAAATTAGTCAGATGTAGTAACAGATACCTATAATCCTAGTTACTTGGGAGACTGAGGCAGGAGGATTGCTTGAACTATGGAGGCAGAGATTGTAGTGAGCCAAGATCATGTCACTGCACTCCAGCCTAGGTAACAGAGTGAGACTGTGTCACACGCACAAAAATGTAAATTGCCACCTACTGGTTTCTTTTTGAAAAAACAAGAAATGTATTCACATATACATCTTTATTTCTCACTTGTAGGGACCTTTGTAGACACTAGTTGATGTCTCCCATGATGATAAATGTTTGAGTAACAGTCTGAGTATGCTGAGTCTAAAGATAAATGATACAGAAACAGAGAAAATGCAGTACCCCTCACAGGAAATGGGTGTAGCAAGTGATGACTGATTATTAATAAGAAGAAATATGAGTAAGCCAATTTAGCTAAACACTAAACACAAAATTTGGGCTAAGACACATCCTAAAAACATCTTTGATAAATTCTCAGAATGTCTAGCCAGGACAATTGTTTTCCAACTACACCAAAACAATGCTACATTATAAAGACTGTAATAAGTAGTTTTTTCTTTTCTTTTCTTTTCTTTTTAAGACAGTTTCGCTCCTGTTACCCAGGCTGGAGTGCAATGGCGCGATCTCGGCTCACCGCAACCTCCACCTCCTGTGTTCAGGCAATTCTCCTGCCTCAGCTTCCTGAGTAGCTGGGATTACAGGCACACGCCACCATGCCCAGCTAATTTTTTGTATTTTTAGGAGAGACAGGGTTTCACCATGTTGACCAGGATGTTCTCAATCTCTTGACCTCGTGATCCACTGCGCCAGGCCAAGAAGTAGTTTTGTTAATGTCAATCAAAGATTACAATGTATACAAAATATTAGAGCAACATGGCTCCATCAAAAAAATTAGAAAAATTTCAAAAGCAACTACAAAATGTATACAAAGTAATTTTTTTTTAAAGAACCGGTGTCACTCTGTTGCACAGGCTGGAGTGCAGTGGTGATCTCAATTCCCTGTAACCTCCACCTGCCCAAGAGATGCTCCTGCCTCAGTCTCCCCAGTACCTGGGATTACAAGTGCATACCATCACAACTGGCTAATTTTTTTGAACTTTTTGGTAATTTTTAGTAGAGATGGGGTTTCACCATCTTGGCCAGGCCAGTCTTGAACTCCCAATTGCGTGATCCACCCGCCTCCTCCTCCAAAAGTGCTGGGAATACAGGCATGAGCCACCATGCTGGATCTAGCATTTATAAAATTCCAAAAATATTTAACAGGTCAGGCTTGGTAGCTTATTCCTGGAATTTAAACACATTGGGAGGCCAAAGTGAGAAAATCACATGGGGTCAGGAGTTTGAGACCCACCTGAAGCCAAGTGCAGTGGTTCATGTATGTAATCCCAGCACTGTAGGAGGCTGAGGCAGGCGGATCAACTGAGGTCAGGAGTTAAAGACCAGCCTAACCAATATGGAGAAACCCCGTCTCTAGTAAAAATACAAAATTTAGCAGGCATGGTGGCTAACGCCTGTAATCTCAGCTACTCAGGAGACCGATGCAGGAGAATCGTTTGAACCTGGGAGGCAGAGGTTGTGGTAAGCCGAGATTATGCCACTGAACTCCAGCCTGGAGGACAGAAAAAGTCTCCAATTCCGAAAAATAAATAAATAAAATTGAATAATATTGAGTAAGTGAAATAAAAACACAAAGAATTACCAAATATCAAAAAATGGGAATAACAACAAGACATATTAAAATAGCAAAAAACAGAAACTGTGGATATAAAAAAGTTTCTTCAAAGAAAACTTTTTTTCTTTGAAAAAAGAAAAGTTTCTTCAAAGAAAAAATGGGCCAGGCACAGTGGCTCATACTTGTAATCCCAGCTTTTTGGGAGGTGAGGTGGGTAGATCACTAGGTTAAGAGACCAAGACCATCCTGGCCTACATAGTGAAACCTAGTCTCTACTAAAAATTCAAAATATTTTCCAGGCACAGTGGCTCGCATTTGTAATCCCAACCGTTTGGGAGTCTGAGGCCGGCAGATCACAAAGTAAGGTGACCAAGACCATCCTGGCTACCACAGTGAAACCCCATCTCTACTAAAAATACAAAAAATTGGCCAGGTATGGGGACATGGGCCTGTAGTCCCAGCTACGTGGGAGGCTGAGTAGGAGAATCGCTTGAACCTGGGAAGCAAGGTTGCAGCGAGCCAAGATCGCACCACTGCACTTTCGCCTGGACAAGAATGAAACGAAGTTCTAAAAAAAAAATTAGCTGGGTGTGGTGGCAGATGCTGTAATCCACGCTACTCCAGAGGCTGAGGCAAGGGAATTGCATAAACTCAGGAGGCGGAGGTTGCAGTGAGCTGAGATTGCAGCTACTGTACACCACTCTGGTGACAGGAATTGCTCTGCCTCAGAAAAAGAAAAAAAAATGAAAAAGCTGAACAAACTAGGATACACACAACTATATTCATAACAAACACACATATTAGCAAAATTTCAAAAATTACACATAAGAGAATTTTGGGAGCTGCAAGATAAAAATGATGTTTCATTTATAAGCACAGTCTCATGAGATAACCAGTGAATTTATCAAAAATAATTTGTAGGTCAGAAGGAAACTACGTCATATTGTTAGTTAAAAATTTTTTTTTTTTTTTTTTTTGAGACAGAGTTTCGCTCTTGTTACCCAGGCTGGAGTGTAATGGCGCAATCTCGGCTCACCGCAACCTCCGCCTCCTGGGATTACAGGCACGTGCCACCATGCCCAGCTAATTTTTTGTATTTTTAGCAGAGACAGGGTTTTACCATGTTGACCAGGATGGTCTGGATCTCTTGACTTTGTGATCCACCCACCTCGGCCTCCCAAAGTGCTGGGATTACAGGCTTGAGCCACCACGCCCGGCTCCATTAGTTAAAATTTTTTAAAGAAAGCTCTCAGGTAGGAATAATATCATCATCAAAATTGTACTACCAAATAATAAAAAATCCTTAAAAAAATAAAACAAATCCTGAGCAAGTATATTGGCACTGCATAGGCCCTATATATCCAAGATGCTGAAAGGAGTTTCCTTCACCAAAAATATTATACTGCAAGAAAACAACACAAAATCATATGGAAATACATAACTTTCTGGAAAAGATATGCACATACACAAAAAATGAAATTTCTTACTTATTATAAGATTTTACAATAGTGTAGAGAAGATTTTTAATTAATTTCTAAGATTTAAAAGAGTACTTATAAACATCTGTTAATGAATATACAACATAAAATATAATTAGCAAAATCCATAACAAAGTTGAAGGCAGATGTAATGATGAAGAATTGTATGAAAATCAAGTTAAATTTACCGCATTCAAACGTATTATTGGATCTTTTCAAGGTTTTATGTAATCCCCCAAGGTATCACTAAGAAAATATCTGGGCTGGCCACAGTAGCTTTTGCCTGTAATTGCAGCATTTTGGGAGGCCAAGGTGAGCGAATGATGAGGTTAGGCGTTCAAGACCAGCCTGGCCAACATGGTGAAACCTTGTTTCTACTAAAAATACAAAAACGATCTGAGTGTGGTGCCACGTGCCTATTGTCTCAGCTACTTGGAAGGCTGAGGCAGGAGAATTGCTTGAACCGGAACCCAGGAGGCAGAGGTTGCAGTGAGCCAAATCCACACCACTGCACTCCAGCCCGGATTACAGAGCAACACTATGTGAAATGGTGGAAGGTGAGAGAAAGGGAGGTAAAGAAGAAAAGGGGAAAGGAAACCCCATCTCTACTATTAATACAAAAATTAGCTGGGGGTGGTGGCGCATGCCTGTAATCCCAGTGACTTGGGAGGCTGAGGTAAAAGGATTGCTTGAACCTGGGAGGCGGAGGTTGCAGTGAGCTGAGATCATGTCATTGCACTCCAACTTGGGCAACAAGAGTGAAACTTCATCTCAAAACACACACACACAAAAAAAAAAAAAAAAAAACCTGAGAACTTCCCACATTTTCATATTTAAAAAACTATTTCTAACCAGTATTAAATCAAAAGTATTTTATTTCAAAAAGGAGATGAAACTAAAGACTTTCTGGCTGACACCCTTTTCAGCCTCAGCCCACATGCACCAAGGTGAAAAAAATTTAAAAAACACTAAAAATAAATAAGTAAACTTTTTAGTTACCAAGAGGCTGTACCAAGCCATTCATGAGAAATTTGCTTTCAAATTTCAAATATATCCTTAGTGCTGGATGTGGGACCTGGTGGGACATGTTACTGTCCCACCAGGTCCCACATCCAGCACTAAGGATATATATTGCAGCATGAGTTTTGGAGAACATGGACATCCAAACCATATTACACCAATTAGGCTTCACAGACACACACAAAACTCTCCAGTCAAAACCAAGATAATACACAACAGTCTTATTTACACCTAATGTATTCGGTTAGGACAAATATAAAGTTTTATTAAATTTAAAAATGTGGACTAGCCTGGGATACATGGTGAGATCGTAACACTACAAACAAGTAAACAACTTGGCAGATTTGGTAATGCATGTCTGTAGTCCTAGCTACTCAAAAAATTGAGGTAAAACAGTCATTGAGTCCAGGAGGCTGAGGAAAGTGAGCCCAAATTATGCCAGAGCACTCCAGCCTGGGTGACTGTAAGATCTTATCTTAAAACAGCAACAAGGCCAGGCACGGTGGCTCAAGCCTGTGATCCCAGCACTTTGGGAGGCCGAGGCAGGTGGATCACAAGGTCAAGAGATTGAGACCGTCCTGGTCAACAAGGTGAAACCCCGTCTCTACTAAAAATACAAAAAAATTAGCTGGGCATGGTGGCGTGTGCCTGTAATCCCAGTTACTCAGGAGGCTGAGGCAGGAGAATTGCCTGAACCCAGGAGGCGGAGGTTGCAGTGAGCCGAGATCGTGCCATTGTACTCCAGCCTGGGTAACAAGAGCAAAACTTTGTCTCAAAAAAAAAAAAAAAAAATTGTGTAGGTAACTGCAATATTTAACTGTTAATGTGAACTCATCAAATACAGGTATTCTGAATCATTGGCATGCACTGTATGCAATATAATTATAAATATGAGATTCTAATGAGAAACTTTCAATAAGTAAGCATTTTTTTAAAAACTAGAGTTACATTTTATGTTTTACATACATGCTGTTCTTACACAAAGTGAAACTGCTGTAATTCAACTTTAGAAGCAAGTAGCCTTATACCCTCTGATATGTTAAAAAAAAGTATTAGGGTGCTGGCTTCGGCAGCACACATACTAAAATTGGAACAATATAAAGAAGATTAGCATGGTCCCTGCGAGAGGATGACACGCAAATTCGTGAAGTGTTCCATATTAAAAAAAAAAAATTAAAAAAAAAAGAAAAAAAAAGTACTAGGAAATAAACTATGTTATTATTTAGGTATAGGCTGAAGAAAGCAGATGAAAACCTATATTGTTTTTGCCTGAAGCAAACTTAAAAATCTAAGAAACCATTTTAGTTAATATGGAGTGCCTACTAATTATCTCATTTACTTCAGGCATGCCATGCAAATTCTAGCATACTGTTCTAAAAACCTGAATCTAAAATTACAGACAAATATAAAATAGAAAGCCAGGTGCAGTGGCTTACGCCTGTAATCACAACACTTTGGGGGGTTGAGGCTAGCTGATCAAGAGGTCAGGAGTTCGAGATCAGCCTGGCCAATATAGTGAAACCTCATTCCTCTTAAAAATACAGGCCGGGCACAGTGGCTCACGCCTATAATCCCAGCACTTTGGGAGGCCGAGGCAGGTGGATCACGAGGTCAGGAGATCGAGACCATCCTGGTCAACATGGTGAAACCTCGTCTCTCCTAAAAATATAAAAAATTAGCTGGGCATGGTGGCGCATGCCTGTAATCCCAGCTACTAAGGAGGCTGAGGCAAGAGAATTGCCTGAACCCAGGAGGTAGAGGTTGCGGTGAGCCGAGATCGCGCCATTGCACTCCAACCTGGGTAAGAAGAGCGAAACTCCGTCTCAAAAAAAAAAAATACTAAAGTTAGCTGGGCGTGGTGATGTGTGCCTGTACTCCTAGCTACTTGGGAGGCTGAGGCAGGAGAATGGTGTGTGCCTGTAGTCCTAACTACTCCAAACGTGGAGGTTGCAGTAAGCGAGAATGCGCCACTACACTCCAGCCTTGGCAACAAGAATGAAACTCCATCCAAAAAAAAAAAAAAAACATTGAAATAGAAAATACAAAGCAAAAATGTACAAGGAGAGTAATGTTGGATAAAAAAAAAAAATTAAAAGTGCCCTATTTTCATATCCGTTACAGCAAAAACAAAATGTCAGCCATCCCTTATAAAACATGCCTTCATGCCAGAAACAGGCATTATGGCGCAAAACTGTAATGACAGTTACATGGCACATTAAGGTTGGAGAACTGCTTCGTGCCTGGATTTCAGACCAGCCTGGTTTATGCAGCAAGACGCCATTTCCAAAGTAAGTGCCTAAGAGACATTTGAGATCCAGAGAGGGAGTTGTGAAACACTGTTAAAGATTCATATTGAGAAGTGTTCTATTGAGAAGGCAGGCCCTCATTCAGATGGAAAACTACAGGACCCCTGTTCTTGGCTACAGACCAGGATAGGGTTCACTCAACTTGGTCCCAATGAGAATCTGAACTTACTCTGTAACCATCCCAAACTCCTCCCAGCCACAGTCTGGGAGAGGTCCTGCCATTCCAGACACCTGGAAAAAGACACCCATTTAGAGCAATGAGGGCAGGCCTACAGACCTTGGCCTTTACTGTGGTCACTGAAGCGGTTCAATGACTCAGTTTCAGTTACCTGAGCCACAGCTTATAGTTAGTTCTGCCTCTATAGAAACCCAGTTACCTGAGGAAATACAATCTGGTACTCAGTGAAAGCCATACTCATCCACATCCTGATACAAGGCCCATCATATGCAAATCCAACTGTCAAAACATGCCCTAGTGTCTGCCCAACAGAGCCAAGTCCTGAAGGATATGCAGTCTGTCCAAAAACAAAATGGAAATTACAACTACGCAAGCCCCTGTAACAAGCCAATTAAAGGTGGACCCTAGTGCAGACCCAGCAGCCTTGTGACCAAGCTACAGCCCCTCTCCACTGCAAAGTCAGAGGGCATCTCAGCACCCTAAGGGCCCAACCAAAGAAGATCTTTACCTTCTAAAATCAGTTTATGAAAAGTGGAAAAGGTGTTTTCTCCATCAAATTCAGACACCAATACAAACTATATTGTGCCCAGGGTCAATGCTTATATTCTAATGGAGCACTGGAAATGTGTGGCAGAAGAATTAGTAAAAGAAATAAAAAGGTCTATTGAAATTGACAAAAAGTAAGTTAAAAGTTGCTGTTTTTAGATCATACAGTCTTATATTAAAAAAAAAACAGTATTTTAAAACTTGTTTAAACTAACAAATACAAACAGTAAATCAGCAATGTAGAAAATGAACATAGAAGTATATGTATGGTTTCACACACTTAAACTATCTGATAAAATAAAGGAAGAAAGAAAAAAACAAACAAAAAAAAGAAAAAACCTTATTTACTATAGCACTAAATAATAAATTTATGAGAAAAAAATTAACCAAGGAGGTGGAAAACTTTTACAATAATCAATGAAAAAGTTAGAGAAGATCCAACTCAATTTTAAAATAGTTTACATCGATGGATTGAAAGAATACATATTATTGTGGGTTCCATGGTGTAATGATTAGCACTCTGGACTCTGAAAGAATACATATTAAATTGCCATATTATTCAAACTGATCAATATATTCAAAAAACTTTATATGAAAATTGCAGTGGTATTTTTTCATAGAAGTGAAAAACATAATTGTAAAATTTACATAAAACTAAAATAAACTTTTGATAGCCAAAGCAATCTTGAGGAAAAAGTACAAAGCAGAAGGACATCATACTCATAATTTCTTTTTTTGAGACGGAGTTTTGCTGTTTTTACCCAGACTGGAGTGCAATGGTACGATCTCGGCTCACTGCAACCTTTGCCTTCTGGATTCAAGCAATTCTCCTGCCTCAGCCTCCCAAGCAGCTGGGACTACAGGTGCGCACCACCATGCCCAGCTAATTTTGTATTTTTAGTAGAGACGGGGTTTCACCTTGTTGACCAGGATGGTCTCGATCTCTTCACCTCGTGATCCACCTGCCTAGGCCTCCCAAAGTGCTGGGTTTATAGGCGTGAGCCACCACGCCTGGCCATACTTATAATTTCAAACTATTTTTTAAGAGTGTGTAGTAATAAAAACAGAATAGACTGTGCAGAACAAAGAACAAAAAAATGCTACAGAAACTACTACTCTCACATATTTCAAACTTGATGCAAAACAAGGACTTTAAAAATAGTTTTAGTTTCTAAAAATCACGCAGACATTTATGTGTCCCCAAAACAATAAAAAAGCAGCCAGATTGTGCAGTCTCTTACACACCATGAAGAGGACTTTCGTTCTCACTGTAACCTTGAAGGAAGCTCACCAAAAGCAAAGCAGAATCTTTAGAGAATTTAAAAGCCTAGACAGAAAATGTCCCTTTGCGAAAGCAAAAAAAAAAAAAAAAAAAATCAGCTGCCCAGAAGTGTTTTCTTTGGCACACAGCTTCCCACATCACCTTTCAAGGGCTGGCTTTCTCTTTGAACCTTGGACCTCTTATTGATGTTCTCTGTTGTATTTATGTTCAGTGGTACCTACCTGGGGGTGTGGCAATCATCTCATGTCTCTTCACAGTCAAAGGTTTTTTTCCTTGCTGCAGACAGGTGATGAGGTCTGGCTTAGAAACCACAATACCTGTTTTATCAAAAATAAATAACATGAAAATGGCTCATATTCTCCACTTACAAGCTAGTAATGTGCTCGGAGAGGATGTGATAAAATATTCTAGTAAATTAATACCAAAATACTAATACTAATTAATAACAGAAATTTCTAAATATTTAGAAAATACTTTGAACTTGTAGTTGCCTTTTGTTTTTCTTTTTTTTTGAGACGAAGTTTCACTGTTGTTAAGCAGGCTGGATTGCAATGGCACAATCTCGGCTCACCACAACCTCTGCCTCCCATGTTCAAGCAATTCTCCTGCCTCGGCTTCCAGAGTACCTGGGATTACAGGCGTGCACCACCATGTGTAACTAATTTTGTATTTTTGGTAGTTAGAGAAAGTTTCATCATGTTGGTCAGCCTGGTCTCACTCCCAATGTCAGGCGATCTGCCTGCCTCAGCCTCCCAAAGTGCTGGGATTACAGACGTGAACCACTGTGCCCAGTCCTGCTTGTGGGTTTTTCAATTTTACTACCTGGTACTACTGAATCAAAAATTGGTGGTGGCAATTAGATTTTCAGGTGGGGGGCAACAGTATTTTATGCCATTAAATTGCTGGAATTACCACTAATTTAGAGTGAAGAATACTCAAGAATTTGGAAAGTTTGAATTAACATGACACACCTTAAAGAAATTCTTTTCTAAGTGAACAAATTCTGAAGATTTTCTAGAAAAAGGGCTTCTGAAACTCTTTTATGCAAAGAATTAATTACTAAAAAACATTCTACAAAAGCCAGGCGCGGTGGCTCAAGCCTGTAATCCCAGCACTTTGGGAGGCCGAGGCGGGTGGATCTCGAGGTCAAGAGATCGAGACCATCCTGGTCAACATGGTGAAACCCTGTCTCTACTAAAAATACAAAAAAATTAGCTGGGCATGGTGGCGCATGCCTGTAATGACAACTACTCAGGAGGCTGAGGTAGGAGAATTGCCTGAACCCAGGAGGCGGAGGTTGCGGTGAGCCGAGATCGCGCCATTGCACTCCAGCCTGGGTAACAAGAGCAAAACTCCGTCTCAAAAAAAATTCTACAAAAAAAGAGAATGAAAACATTTAGGGTGTATTATGAATTGCGTATTCAAGTTATCCTCACCCAGGAAGACCAGGTTTCCGTAGTTCTCCAACATCACATCCCTATACAGATTCCGCTGTGCAGCGTCCAGGCAATGCCACTCCTCCAGGGAGAATTCTACGGCCACGTCTCTAAATTCCAATGGTCCCTGAGAAACACACACACACATGCTTTTACCAAGTGGCCATGGGCAGAATTTCTAATTTGATGTAAGGCAAAAAAAATATAAATAGATGCTTTTCAACAGAAGACATAGATGCGGCAAACAAGCATATGAAAAAAAACGATCATCGCTCATCAGTGGAGAAATTTAAAAAAAAAAAAAAAAACACAATGAAATACCACCTCACACCACTCAGAATGGCTGTTTTTTAAGTTAAAAAGTAACAGATGCTGGCAAGTTTGCAGAGAAAAAGAATGCTTATAATCTATTGGTGGGAATTAAATTAGTTGAAGAATTGTAAAAATGAAGTGTGGCCTGCTGGATGCTGTGGCTTATGCCTGTAATCCCAGCACTTTAGGTGGCTGAGGTGGGAAGATCCCCTGAGGTTGACAGTTTGAAACCAGCCTAACCAATATAGAGAATTCCCGTCTCTACTAAAAATACAAAATTAGCCAGGAGTTTCAGCTCCTCAAGAGGCCGAGGCAGGAGAATCGCTTGAACCCTGGAGGCAGAGGCTGCAGTAAGCCAAGACTGCACCACTGCACTCCAGCCTTGGCAAAATGAGTGCAACTCCATCTCAAAACAAAACAAAACTAATGCCGAAAACAGAAAACTAAATGCATGTTATTATTTATAAGAGCTACATAATAAAAACACATGAACACGAAAAGGAGAGCAACAGACACTGAAGCCTAGTTGAGGGTGGAGAGTGGGAGGAATAAGAGGATCAGAACACAGACCTGTTTGGGGCTATGCATAGAACCTCAGTGTCAAAATAATTGGCACACAAAACACCCATGACATAAGTTTAGCTGTAAAACAAACCCACATGTGTACCCCAAACCAATAATATTAAAAGTTAGTAGCAAAAAAAAAAAAAAAAAAAAAAAAATCCCTGGGTGGGAGAAAGTGCAGTGCAGGTGAAAGGATTGATTTTTCCCACAGATAGTGGCCCAGGTGGGGCTGTACTCTGATTTATTTCTGTGCGCACGCAGGCAGATGAGATTATAAACAGGATTAGGAGCAGGAGGTCCAGAACCCTAGCTTGGTGGACAACACAGGTTGCTGCTGCAGATTCAGTGCCTGGGGGAGGGGATATGCCAGGAGACTTGTAGACACTTCTGGGTTTTCAGCAAGAAACACTAGGATCAAAAATGCCGTGGTGAAGTTCCTGAGGGTGGTGCCTAGTCTTGGGAGGAGTGTGGACACGTCAATGTCTACTGTGTGTGTTTGTGAGTGGGTGGGAATCCTGTGGTGGCAGCTGCAAGAAAAGAGGGTCTGTCATCAGAGCTCCTTTCCTCTAAGTTTTCAGACCTCTGTCACCCTGAGAGAAGACCTGGAATCACAGGAAAATGGGCAGTGTGACAGCCTGTGTACAGGAGAGCAGAGCCTCCCATTCCTAGACACTCAGAGTTTTATTCTAGGTCATGACATCTTTTTCTGGCACCAAATCTGTAGTATTGGCTGAACATCAAACAATTCTCCAACATCAATTTATTGTCTAACATTTGAATTCTGACACTACCCAGAGTTAACAAAGACCCTGATTCAGGGTCTGAGGTCAGGAGTTCCAGACCAGCCTGACCAACATGGAGAAACCAGTCTCTACTAAAAACACAAAATTATCTGGGTGTAATGGTGCATGACTGTAATTCCAGCTACTCCGGAGGCTGAGGTAGCGGAATCGCTTGAACTCGAAAGGCAGAGGTTGTATTTTTAGTGGAAATGGTGTTTCATTATGCTGGCCAGGCTGTCCTAGAATTCCTGACCTCATGATCTTCCTGAGACAGCCTCCCAAAGTGCTGAGATTACAGGTGTCAGCCACCAGCCCTGCCCAGGAAGGGATTTTTGTTGTTGGGTTTTTTTTATTTGTTTGTTTTTTTTTTTTTTGAGAGTCTCTTTCTTTTGCAAGGCTGGAATGCAGTGGCCCTATCTCCGCTCACTGCAACCTCTGCCTCCTGGGTTCAAGAGATCCCAAGTAACTGGGATTACAGCCACGCAACACCACAGCCAACTAATCTGTGTGTGTGTGTGTGTGCATGTATTTTTAGGAGAGACGGGGTTTCACCATGTTGGCCATGATGATCTCCATCTCCTTACCTTGAGATTCCACCGCCTTGGCCTCCCAAAATGCTGGGATTACAGGTTACAACCATAGCGCCCGGCCCAGGAAGGGGTTTTTAACCCTAACAAAGTTCCTGTTTCTGTCCTTCAGATCGCACAACCTAAACTTGTCCTGGTTGGCTTAGATCCAAAGTTTTTCCAAATAGGATAAACAAGTGATTTTCTGAGAGAAGAAGGAGTAAGAAGAAGGGGTAGGGTAATCAAAAAGTTGGTGATTTACAACTTTTACAACTTACAACCAGAAGTTGAGTCCCTGAAGAAAAACTTAGTTGACCTAACAACTCCTGACCTCAAGTAATCCGCCCACCTCGGTCTCCCAAACTGCTGGGATTAGAGGCGTGAGCCACCTAACCTGGGCAGATAAATTGTTAATCGGAAAAAAGAGAAACTGTGAACCCCAGGGACCAAAGCTCTTCCCACTCATGGACCCGCACCCCGAGTCAGGATTCTCCCCTGACGACCCTCCCATGGTCTCTGCACAATCTGAGACTCGCAGTTGAGGACGCACAGCTGCCCAGAGACAGCTTCAAGCCAGGGCTCGGTCACTGCCCAGGGAAGAGACAGGACTACGGGGGCCTGAGGCCGAGCTGGGCAAGGAGAACTCCGGGAGCAGATAGTGGAGCCTACGGCAAGGACGCCTGCGTCCCACCACAGCCACTTCCCACCGTTTCCTCCACTTCTAACCTGTCCCTCTTCCCTCTCGGGATGTCGGACCAGGCACTCTCATCATTTCTAGGGTTTCATGGAGTAACGGCGTCTTAGTTGTGGATCTCCCCAATACCTGCAGGTCACAGTGGCTGGGTCTCTGGCTGCAGCAAGAGACAAAGGACGCGCCAAACCCGGAAGCCGTCCTCTTCGCTGCAGCTACGTGCCTGATTGGACGGTTTCCAGCCCAACGTCCCTGATTGGATAATGTTTTTTTGTTTTGTTTTGTTTTGTTTTTATGGTTCCCAGCTTGCCAGCCTCTGCCAGCCTCTGCCAGCCTGCACCCCAACAGGGAGTTTCCTGCTTGCTAGCTCTGGCTGAAATTCTAGTTTGCAAGCCTTTGCTCAGAGCAGCTCTGGGACAGCTATGGCCCCAATCAACCCAGAAACCTCTCCTCTTTCCAATGGACTTCTCTAGTGAGGTCTGAATCCCAACCTTGGGAAGGGGCCCTCTCTTCCAACTTTGTTCCCTTGGTGGTATATTCACTCATCCCTAGGGTTCTCCTTTTATAGTTAATATAGTTATCCTCTGCTGTAGTCAATTTTTTTTTTTTTTTTTTTTTTTTTTTAAGAGATGGAGTCTTGCTGTCACCCAGGTTGGAGTGTGGTGGTGTGATCTTGGCTCACTGCAATCTCCACCTCCTGCATTCAAGCAATTCTCCTGTCTCAGCCTCCTGAGTAGCTGGGATTACAAGTGCATGCCACTATGCCTGGCTGATTTTTTTTTTTTTTTTAAGGGGAAAAAAAGAAAAAGAGGGAAAAAGAAATATTACTTCATTCCTAAAGTGGGTTTCAATAATGGCTGATCAATATTTTGAGTATTTAAAGTGGTTAATGTATATTTTATGTATTTAAAATGGAGACCTCTATTGTGTTTATTAGTTCTGGCTCTGAGTTCAAGTCCTGGATATCGTTATCAATTTTCTGTCTCATTGAATCTAAATCTCATTATGGGTCTTATGTATCTGGGTGTTAAGATCTCTTATTATTACATTAATCCTTTTATCCTTGTAGCTTTGAAATCTATTTTGTCAAATGTGAAAATTGCAACTCCTGCTTTTTATTTATTTATTTTTGCTCTCCATTTGGTTGGTACGTTTTTTTTTCCAACCCTTTATTTTGAGTCTATGTATATCTTTGGATAAACCGTTAGATTTTGTCTGTATCTTTTGATTGGGAGATCTGGTCGATTTAAATTTAGGGTTGCTGCCATTTGATATTAACTGGCTATTTTGTCCTCTTGTTGATAAAAATTCTTCTTTATGTTAATGCTCTTTACTTTTTGGTGTATTTTTAGAAAGGGTCATACTGGTTGTTCCTTTCTGTGTATAGTGCTTCTTTTAGAAGTTCTTGTAAGGCAGGCCTGGTGGTAATAAAATCACTGAGTACTTGCTTGTTCCTAAAAAATTATTTTTCCTTCAAATGTAAAGCTTAAATTGGCAGGATATGAAATTCTGGGCTGAAAGTTCTGTTGATTAAGTATATTGAATATTGGCCCCCACTCTCTTCTAGCTTGTAGGGTTTCCGTTGAGAGATCTGCTGTAAGCCTAATAGGCTTACCTTTATGGGTAACTTGATCTTTCTCTCTGGCTGCCCTTAATATTTTCTCCTTCCTTTCGATCTTGGTAAATCTAACGATTATGTGCCTTGGGGTTGGTCTTCTTGAGGAATATCTTTGTGGTGTTCTCTGTATTGCCTGGGGTTGAATAGTGTCCTGCTTTGCTAAATTAGGAAAATTTTCCTGGATAATGTCCTGGAGAGTATTTACCAGCTTGAATTCATTCTCTCCGTCACATTCAGGTACACCAATCAAGCGTATATTAGGTCTTTTCACATAGTCCCATATTGCTTGGAGACTTTGCTCATTCCTTTTTATCCTTTTTTCTCTATTCTTGTCTTGTTGTTTTGTTTCATTAAGTTGATCTTTGACCTCTGATACCCTTTCTTCTGCTTGATCCATTCGGCTGTTTAAGCTTGTACATATTTCACTAAGTTCTCGTGTTGTATTTTTCAACTCCATAAGTTCATTTGTATTCCTCTCTATATTGTCTATTCTTTTCAACATTTCATCTAACCGTTTTTCCAAGTTCTTAGTTTCTTTACATTGGGTTAGAACGAGTTCCTTTAACTCCCAGAAGTTTCTTATCATCCACCTTTTAAAGCATACTTCAGATAATGGAACACAGTCCTTTTCCATCAGGGCTTGTTCCGTTACTGATGAGTCTTTTTCCATCAGGGCTTGTTCGGTTGCTGATGAGTCCTTTTCCATCAGGGCTTGTTCGGTTGCTGATGAGTCCTTTTCCATCAGGGCTTGTTCTGTTGCTGATGGGTTCTGATTTTGAGTATACTCGGCCTTCTTAGGCTGTTTTTTTCCCTTCATTGTAGATGAACCGCCTTTCTAATTAGTTTTCTGAGTCGACGTCCGACTTATTCATTCCCAGTGTTGGGATCCGAGCAACCCACTGTGGCAGCCTAAATAGCAGCGGTAAGACTGATGGTGCTCTTCTGCCCGGGAATCTCTGGTCTGGCTTCCCTCTTGAGTCCGCAACAAGCGGCTCTGACTTTCCGGAGCTCCAAACTCCGGTCAGTAGGGGAAGCAGTCCCGTTGGCTCTGCATGAAGAGCTGCTGCACCGAGACGCCGGCAAAACCGCTGCGGCGGCCACAAGAGTCACGCTGGCCACCCGTGGGGCTCCTCCACTGGGAATCGGCTGATCGGTGAGTGACGAAAATTTGTCTAAAAGTGTGGCGTCGTCTCGTTCTCTGGGCTTTCACTGGGAACTACAATCCTGAGCTGTTAGTGGTCGGCCATCTTGGATCCTCCCTGGATAATGTTTAAGATCCTAGGGCAGCCAGAGACAAAGGTCATGTTACCCACAAAGGCAAGCTTATCAGACTTACAGCAGATCTCTCAGCAGAAACTCTACAAGCCAGAAGAGAGTGGAGGCCAATATTCAACATCCTCAAAGAACAGAACCTTCAGCCCAGAATTTCATATCCAGCCAAACTAAGCTTCACAACTGAAGGAAAAATAAAATCTTTTATGAACAAGCAAGAACTCAGAGATTTTATTACCACCAGGCCTGCTTTACAAGAGCTTCTGAAAGAAGCATTACACACAGAAAGAAACAACCAGTATTAGCCTTTCTAAAAATACACCAAAAAGTAAAGAGCACCAACATAAAGAAGAATTTACACCAACGAATGGATAAAACAGCCAGTCAACATCAAATGGCAGTAACCCTAAATTTAAATTGACTAAATCCCCCAATCCAAAGGCACAGCCAAAACCCAATGGCATGTTACATCCAGACCTGTTTCACATGCAAGGATACACAAAGACTCAAAACAAAGGGATGGAGAAAGATTTACCAACCAAATGGAGAGCAAAAATAAATTATAAATAAATAAAAAGCAGGAGTTGCAATTCTCGTATCGGAGAAAATAGATTTTAAAGCAACAAAGATATAGTGGTAAAAGGATCAATGCAACAACAAGAGCTAACGATCCTAACACCCAGATACGAGACTTAGATTCAATGAGACAGAAAATTAATAAGGATATCAAGGACTCGAACTCAGATCCGGAACAAGTAAACTTAATAAATATTCATAGAACTCTCCACTTCAAATACACAAAATATACATTCTTGTCAATACCACATCACACCTACCCATAAGTTTAAATGAAACATTGATTGGCCATTATTAATACTCAGTTTTTTTCAAAATAAAGCAATATTTCCATTTACTCTCCCTCTTTCTCTTCCTCTTTCTTCCTCTCCTTTACTTTTTTTTTTTTTCTTTCCTTCTCTCAAAAAAAAAGAAATCAACTTGTAAACCTCTAGATCCAGGTCGGCAATGTCTCTCTCATTGCTTGATTTCCTTCCTTCCCTTCCCTCCCTCCCTCCCCATTTCCTCCCTTCATCCCTTCCTTCCTCCCTATCGTCCTTCTTCCCTCCCTCCCCGCTTCCTCCCTTCCTTCCTTCCTTCCTTCCTTCCTACCGTCCTTCTTCCCTCCCTTCCTGCCTTCCTCAAAAAAAAAAAAAAGATCCTGCCCCTGTCAAGCCCTGAGTGACAGAAAACGTGATCAGGCGCTGGGCTAAGTGAAGAAAGAGTAACAGCTTAAGCTGCAGCCTTTTCATGGGAGGCTTCCTCCCTGAGCTGAGCCAGGCCCTTTCCAGGACATGGGAAAATTATCTTATTTACTCTCTCTGTTTTTGCATGTATTTAGGTGAACAGAATTATTTTACTGTGATAGTAATAACAAAATTTTTGTTCAAGAGAAAATCAACTTTTACTTTCGCAATAGTGTACTATCAATATTAAAGCTAATTTTAATAAAACTTTGTAAACAAACTTTTTCACCTCTCAAAATTTACATATATATTTTGCAATCTTTTGTAATTTTTAACCTTTTTGTATTTTATTTTTATTCACATTCTTTTTATTTTTTCAATTTGATACAAATTTCAAGTAATTTCAAACTGCTATAGGAGATAGAAAGAAATCATTTAGGGCCATTCATCTGCATTCAAGTTTGCAGTTAAGGTGGAAAATTTGGCCAGTTGATCTTCCTGCTGATTAAATAGTCTTTCAAGAGAAAGCAGAGGCCAGGCGCAGTGGCTCACGCCTATAATCCCAGCACTTTGGAAGACTGAGGCGGGTGGATCACGAGGTCAAGAGATCGAGACCATCCTGGTCAACAAGATGAAACCCCGTCTCTACTAAAAATACAAAAATTAGCTGGGCATGGTGGCGCACGCCTGTAGTCCCAGCTACTCGGGAGGTTGAGGCAGGAGAATTGCTTGAATGCAGGAGGTAGAGGTTGCAGTGAGCCGAGATCATGCCATTGCACTCCAGTCTGGGTAATGACAGTGAAACTCCGCCTCAAAAAAAAAAAAAAAAAAAAGAGAAAGCAGAGACGCATGAACATCAACACTGAAAACTGCAACAATGGTAGTATGCACCAGAATTCAGATATATTCCCAGTATTGTTTTCCTCAAGCCTCTTTATTCCCAATTACATTTGTTTCATTACCACTGAGGCATCCAGGTAAGACCATTTGCTACTGACCAAGAGTTGGTATACAAGTGACAAGTCCCTTTGGGCTCCTCCCAAATAGCTCAGAGGACCACTACTAGTTCAGCTAACTGGCTGTTCCCACCCCTTTCTTCAACAGAAATACTTGTTTTTAATAAAACTATAAGCCACATCCTTCAAGCATCAAATCCCACCAATGTATTTGTTGGATTCATCAGTAAACCAAGCATGTTTCTGATCCTCTGTGCTTAGTTCTTTAA